GATAGGAGACTATTCCCCAGTATCTGGAAGATAGGAGACTATTCCCCAGTATCTGGAAGATAGGAGACTATTCCCCAGTATCTGGAAGATAGGAGACTATTCCCCAGTATCTGGAAGATAGGAGACTATTCCCCAGTATCTGGAAGATAGGAGACTATTCCCCAGTATCTGGAAGACAGGAGACTATTCCCCAGTATCTGGAAGATAGGAGACTATTCCCCAGTATCTGGAAGATAGGAGACTATTCCCCAGTATCTGGAAGATAGGAGACTATTCCCCAGTATCTGGAAGATAGGAGACTATTCCCCAGTATCTGGAAGATAGGAGACTATTCCCCAGTATCTGGAAGATAGGAGACTATTCCCCAGTATCTGGAAGACAGGAGACTATTCCCCAGTATCTGGAAGACAGGAGACTATTCCCCAGTATCTGGAAGATAGGAGACTATTCCCCAGACACCAGACGGCTAAATGCTGGTGTCCCATTACTGACAGTGTACTCTCAACCAGACCTGGCCCACTTCAACTCAGCCCAGCTCTACACAGCACTGACCACTACCCTAGGGTCTGGCAGAACACTGTCGAGGGAAGTGCACCACATGATGCAGGGTGGACTTAGCTCTGCCAACACTGCTCTCCCAGTTCCCGCCCCAGCCCCTGAATCCAGTGACTTGGGGGAGGTCTGTCAAATGCTCAGTTTGCTCTGCTCTCACGTGGTTGGCCAGGGACCTTGGCAATGTCTCAGCTCATTCAACAAATAGCTGCAGATGACCGTATGCCTGTTAACTCTGATGGGAATGACCTGAATACTCCCCTGACTTTAAATCTCATGGTGGCCAACTACAAGAAACGTCTGACCTCTGTGATTGCCAACAAGGGTTTTGCCACCAAGTACTAAGTCATGTTTTGCAGAGGGGTCAAATACTTATTTCCCTCATTAAAATGCAAATGAATTTATAACATTTTTGACATGCGTTTTTCTGGATTTTGTTATTCTGTCTCTCACTGTTCAAATAAACCTACCATTAAAATTATAGACTGATCATGTCTTTGTCAGTGGGCAAACATACAAAATCAGCAGGGGATCAAATACTTTTTTCCATCACTGTATGTCAAATCTAATTTCATGGCGTCCCAATCTTTAAATATCTATGTTCCCAAGAAATTTGAGCTCCTGTTTGTAGATGTGTCCATAAACCAGAATACACATTTATTTGTTGCTGGGATTTACCGCCCCCTGCTGCCATGGTGATGCTAATGGTGCTATATCTGAGGGATTTACCGCCCCCTGCTGCCATGGTGATGCTAATGGTGCTATATCTGAGTGTTTAACACCTTTTCTGTCCTCAGTTGGTCATTTTAGAGGATTGTAATCTGGATCAATCCCCGGCCTCAGATCAATTTAAGAGTATACTGTATGCATTGATTTTAATCTGACTCAATTGATCTCAAAACCCACACGGCTAAATGTGAAAAACCCTGTTAACTCCTCATTGATTTATTTAATTCTTACTAATAACCCCCATAAATATTTGTCTAGTGGAGTATTTGCATATGATGTCAGTGATCATTGTCCTATAGTATTAGAGACACATTTTTTAAAGTTCTCTCAAGGGTTTTTACGTGACATGTTCTACTCTGATTTAGCCACGGTCTTCTGTATCCCTGTACCCGGAGTTGGCTCTAGAACATTTATCCTCCATATTTATTCCTCTGGCAGATAAACACGCCCCTTTTAAACAATTCATAGTCAAAGATAGATCAAACCCCTGGTTTTCTTCTGAGGTAATTCAGATGAGAAATCTGAATTGGTCCAAAGCAAGGAAAACTGACTGTTGTGGACTGGCAATCTTTCAGACAATTGAGAAAACAGATGTACTATCTCGATTAAGAAAGCTAAATCAAGCTACTTTTTAAGCTCTATCTCTGCCTGTGATCCTTCTAAATGTTGGAAAACAGTAAATGCACTGAAGCGTACAAATTCCTCTTCTTCCCTGCCTCAGCAAGTTCCGTCTGACTCTGGCATCATAACTGAGAAGATAAGTGCCTTACCTCCATAACTTGCTACATTTGCACACACTGTATATATATTTTCTGCTGTATTTTTGACTTTATGTTTTTTTTACCCCATATGTAACTCTGTGTTGTTGTTTTTATCGCACTGCTTTGCTTTATCTTGGCCAGGTCGCAGTTGTAAATGAGAACCTGTTCTCAACTGGCTTACCTGGTTAAATAAAGGTGAAATAAAAAATAAAAAAATAAAAAAGTGATGCTTTTAATCATCATTTTATCTCGACAGGCTTTTTATTTGAGAGAAACAGTGGTTTAGTTGACCCTGGTTCAGCCAATCGACTGCTCTTCCCTCTGCCAGCCTCTAGCTGACTCGACGGTCGACCCGTCAACTTCTAGTCAATCATTGTTTTCATTTCAACAATTTACTATCTGTGATGTGCTAGACGCCTCGCTTAAGATTGATGTAAAAAATAAAATAATAATCCACTGGGGCTGATATGCTCGATCCATTTTTGCTGCAGCTCTCTGACCCCCGACTGCTGAATCATTAACCCATATTTTTTAACCCGCAGGGGCCGATTCTGGGTCCTGTACTTATTACTGTTTACATTGACAATAACCTGCATTTGTATGCCGATGATACTGTCGTGTATTCTATTGCCCCCATGATTGACCAGGCTCTATCTGAACTACAGTCTGCCTCCATTGTATTACAGACAAACTTGATTGACCTAAAATTATACTGAAGAAAAATATAAAATGCAACAAGTGTTGGTCCCATGTTTCATGAGCTGAAATAAAAGATCCCAGAAATGTTCCATATGCACAAGCTTATTTCTCTCACATTTTGTGCACAAACTTGTTTACATCCCTGTTCAGGAGCATTTCGCCAAGGTAATCCATCCACCTGACAGGTGTGGCATATCAAGAAGCTGATTAAACAGCATGATCATTACACAGGTGCACCTTGTGCTGGGGACAATAAAAGTCCACTCTAAAATGTGCAGTTTTGTCACACAACACAATGCCACAGATGTCTCAAGTTTTGAGGGAGCGTGCAATTGGCATGCTGATTGCAGGAATGTCCACCAGAGAATTCAATGTTAATTTCTCTACCATAAGCCACCTTCAACGTCGTTCTGGAGAATTTGGCAGTACATACAACCGGCCTCACAACCGCAGACCACGTGTCACCACGCCAGCCCAGGACCTCCACATCCGGCTTCATCACCTGCGGGATCGTCTGAGACCAGCCACCCGGACAGCTGATAAAACTGAGGAGTATTTATGTCTGTAATAAAGCCCTTTTGTGGGGAAAAACTCATTCTGATTGGCTGGGCCTGGCTCCCCAGTGGGTGGGCCTATGCCCTCCCAGGCCCACCCATGGCTGAGCCCCTGCCCAATCATGTGAAATCCATAGAGTAGGGCCTAATGAATTTATTTCAATTGACTGATTTCCTTATATGAGTTTTTTTTTTTAACTTTTACCGAGTTTATACTGAAACTCAGTAAAATCGTTGAAATTGTTGCATGCCACATTTATATTTTTGTTCAGTATAGTATTGAATGCAGGTCAAACTGAGTATGTGTTGTTATCTAGAGCGCATAAAAATAACTGATGATTTATGCATATGTACTTTGGATGGTGTCCATCTTGATAGTGTCCCTGCTATCTGGGCATCTGGACAGATGAACATCTGTCTTTTCAAAAGCATGTTGATGAGTTGGTTAATAAGCTGAGAATAACAATGGGCTTCTTCTATAGAAACAGGTCCTGCCTCTCGCTAAACAGTAGAAAGCATTATTCAGTCGGTCCGAGACTATGGGGACATCATCTATATGAACGCAGCAGCCACTTCATTGAAGCCGTTAGATGCAGTTTATCATAGAGCACTGCGCTGTATTACGGGCGACAGGTTTAGTCACTGCGTTTATCATAGAGCACTGCGCTGTATTACGGGCGACAGGTTTAGTCACTGCGTTTATCATAGAGCACTGCGCTGTATTACGGGCGACAGTTTTAGTCACTGCGTTCTCTACCAGGAAGTTGGTTGGTCCTCTTTGATGTCACATAGGTTGATACATTGCTATGTTTTCATTTATAAAAGCCCTTTTACAAAAAGTCCCACTGTACCTAACATCTTTAATAAACTTTAGACATACGTGTTACCACACCTGGTTTCAGGGATGGTTAACCATGGAAATTCCTTTGGTCTCTACTGAGTTAAGTAAATCAGCTTTTAGTTTTCTTGCACCTTATTTGTGGAACAATCTTCAACATGTTCTTCCATGTGATGTTGTGGTGCCTCTAGGGTAATTCAGAAGGCTGAAATGTTCTTCCCTGTGATGTTGTGGTGCCTCTAGGGTAATTCAGAAGGCTGATTGAGGAACTTATTACTGATGAATGTGTTTGTTATGATCATGTTGTTCTTTCTGCTTTCATTTTGGATTTATATTTCTGTAATTCAGGGCTTATCGGTAAAAGAGACCTTGGTCTCCGTATGACTCCCTGATAAAATAAAGGTTAAATAAATAACAATAAGGAGAGAGCAGTAGAGAGAGAGAGAGAGAGAGAGACAGACAGAGACAGACAGAGAGAGAGAGAGAGAGAGAGAGAGACAGACAGACAGACAGAGAGAGAGAGAGAGAGAGAGAGAGAGAGAGAGAGAGAGAGAGAGAGAGAGAGAGAGAGAGAGAGAGCGTGAGAGAGCGTGAGACAGAGACAACAGTGCTAGACATGGTCTTTCTCTTAAAACAATGGTGTACTGGATGACATTGGTTGACAGTAACGTTGTCCTCCTGGTGAATTGATATTTAACGATGAGATAAAACATGATAAAATGGAACGTTTTGGAACGTTTTGGCTGCATGTTGAGTTCTTCAGTTCTTCAGTGCGTCTGACGGTTCCACCGGGTTCTGTCTGCCTCCTCAGGGCCTCACAACACCTACTGTACCGTTTATACAGTCCAGAAAGTCATCCTTCGTCTCCTACTCCTCCTCCTCCTCCTCCTCCCCTTCGTCCATGTCTATGATAACAGAGGGATCCCTGTCACCACCTGGAAAAGACAATGTTTCCTTTAATACATTCAACAACCAAACAAAGTTCAATCATTTATATTATAAAGACAACTACATTGAACAAAAATATTCACGCAACATGCAACAATGACAATAGATTTTTATGAGTTACAGTTCATATAAAGGAAATCAATCAATTCATTAGGCCTTAATCTATGGATTTGACATGACTGGGAATACAGATATGCATCTGTTGGTCACAGATACCTTAATAACAGATAAAAAGATAGGGGCGTGGATCAGAAAACCAGTCAGTGTCTGGTGTGACCATTTGCCTCATGCAACGTGACACATCTCCTTTACATAGAGTTGATCAGGCTGTTGATTGCGGCCTGTGGAATGTTGTCCCACTCCTCTTCAATGGCTGTGCGAAGTTATTGGATATTGGTGGGAACTGGAACACGCTGTCGTACAGGTCGATCCAGAAAGGGAAAGGGGGATTCCTAGTCAGTTGTACAACTGAACGCATTCAACTGAAATGTGTCTTCCACATTTAACCCAACCCCTCTGAATCAGAGAGGTGCAGGGGGCTGCATTAATCAACATCCACGTCTTGCTCAGAGGCAGAACGACATCATTTATCCTTGTCAGCTCGGGGATTCGATCCAGAGCATCCCAAACATGCTCAATGGGTGGCATGTCTGGTGAGTATGCAGGCCATGGAAGAACTGGGATATGTTCAGCTTCCAGGAATTGTGTACAGATCCTTGCGACATGGGGCCATGCATTATCATGCTGAAACATGAGGTGATGGCGGCGGATGAATGGCACGACAATGGGCCTCAGGATCTCATCACAGTATCTCTGTGCATTCAAATTGCCATCGATAAAATGCAATTGTGTTCGTTGTCCGTAGCTTATGTCTGCCCATAGCATAACCCCGGTGCCACCATGGGGCACTCTGTTCACAACGTTGACATCAGCAAACCACTCGCCCACACGACGTCATGTCTGCCATCTGCCCGGTACGGTTGAAACCGGGATTAATCCGTGAAGAGCACACTTCTCCAGCGTGCCAGTGGCCATCGAAGGTGAGCATTTGCCCACTGATGTCGGTTACGACACTGAACTGCAGTCAGGTGAAGACCCTGGTGAGGACGACGAGCACGCAGATGAGCTTCCCTGAGACGGTTTCTGACAGTTTGTGCAGAAATCCTTCGGTTGTGCAAACCCACAGTTTCATCAGCTGTCCGGGTGACTGGTCTCAGACGATCCCGCAGGTGAAGAAGTCGAATGTGGAGGTCCTGGGCTGGCGTGGTTACACGTGGTCTGCGGTTGTGAGACCAGTTGATCATACTGCCAAATTCTCTAAAACGACGTTGGAGGCAGCTTATGGTAGATAAATTAACATTAAATTATCTGGCAACAGCTCTGGTGGACATTCGTGCCGTCAGCATGCCAATTGCACGCTCCCTCAAAACTTGAGACATCTGTGGCATTGTGTTGTGTGACAAAGTGAGTGGCCTTTTATTGTCCCCAGCACAAGGTGCACCTGTGTAATGATCATGCTGTTTAATCAGCTTCTTGATATGCCACACCTGTCAGGTGGGTGGATTATCTTGGCAAAGGAGAAATGCTCACTAACAGGGATGTAAAATTTGTGCACAACATTTGAGAGAAATAAGCTTTCTGTGCATATGGAACATTTCTGGGATCTTTAATTTCAGATCATGAAACATGGGACCAACACTTTGCATGTTGCGTTTATAATTGTGTTCAGTGTAGCTTCCAGACAGACAGTATTATTACTTATTGTGATCGAGATGTAGTTGTCCCTGATTGCACCGACTTTGCTCACAGCTGCTTGTTTGAAGAAGTGTACTTACTGTGATCAAGATGTGGTTGTCCCACTGGCTATCCTAAGTTGAACGCACCAATTTGTAAGTCGCTCTGGATAAGAGCGTCTGCTAAATGACTTAAATGTAAATGTATTATATAGTTTAATCACATGTCGTCCTGCAATACCACGTCTGTCCACCAGATGGATGTAGAGAAGTAACAGTAGGGGCTTTTGAACCACTATGCAGCCTAGCAAGACTTTTCAGTATTAATTAGGGACACCACCACCACATCACATAATCTTCCCTGATAGATATTAATCTAAGAATCTGTCCTATTGGCCTCCTTACCCATGTGGTCGTCCTCGGACTCCTCCTCTTCCTCCTCCCATTTCTCCTCATTGGCTAACAGAGAGGTCGAGGACTCACTCAGGCTCTTCAGGGGGAAGTAGTGGCCGTCTCCTTGGCTGGGCAAAACAGAAACACAGACAGGATGGGGTTAAATATCCATAGTCAGGGGGAAGTAGTGGCCGTCTCCTTGGCTGGGAAACGTGCATCAAACAATACAACTTTATCAACACAGCCCTTTACAACAACATTTCTCACAAAGCGCTTGTATAGGGCAGTTTCATAACAGTTTCAAGTCCCCCCAATAGCACACATTTGTATTGTAGCCCAGACAACCTCACCTGATTCAACTTAACAAGGGCCTGATGATTAGTTGACAAGTTGAGTCAGGTATGTTTGTCCGGGGCTACAATACTAATGTGTCCTGGTGAGGGTATTACAGGAGTTGAAACCACTGGTCTAGGGCAGGGCTCCCAACCCTGATCCTGGAGAGCTCCCCTCCTGGAGGTTTTAACTCCAACCCTGATCCTGGAGAGATACCCTCCTGTAGGTTTTAACTCCAACCCTGATCCTGGAGAGATACCCTCCTGGAGGTTTTAACTCCAACCCTGATCCTGGAGAGATACCCTCCTGTAGGTTCTCTCTCCAACCCTGATCCTGGAGAGATACCCTCCTGGAGGTTTTAACTCCAACCCTGATCCTGGAGAGATACCCTCCTGGAGGTTTTAACTCCAACCCTGATCCTGGAGAGATACCCTCCTGTAGGTTCTCTCTCCAACCCTGATCCACCCTCCTGCCTATTGGGTTGCTGTAGGATGTTGTGGTGTGATCCTGTATGCTTTTCTTTGGTAACAGGTTATATGCTGGCCCTAAGGTGGATATATGGAGTTGTGGGGTGATCCTGTATGCTTTGCTTTGGTAACAGGTTATATGCTGGCTGGCTGTACTGTGGTAGCTAAATACAATATCTTTGTGCTAGCTACCCAACGTTTAATCATTGCTGCGTTATGAAAGGTAAGCTTGGCTTCTTATATGGTGTTGAGTTAAGCTTAAACCATGTATTTAGATTGTAGGTAGGTATTGTAGTTTGGTATTATAGGTAGCTTACTCAGGTAGTTATTGAAGGTTATTGTAGGTAATTATTGTAGGTAAGGACTGTATTCGGCAGACCCCGGCGAAGCACGAGGCTAGCACGAGGCTAGCTAACCCACTACCTGGACCAACAAAGCTAGCTAGCTAGCGGGTAGCTACTGGTAACTTTTTGCAACTGTGGTTAATTGTTTCCAATGTTATTTCATGCTTAAGAGTACCTGTGATTGAGCCAGCTAGCTGCTACCATTCAGCTGTTTTTCTAACCTCATCCGAGGCATTAACGTTAGGTGGTTGGTAGCTGCTGTACTTAATTACAGCTACTGATAACAGTCTGCTGTAGTTTACAACAATTCTAATTTCTAAAGTGGAAGTTGGGAGAGTTTTACTCGGGTGGTTCAGTGAAACAATTATAGTTTCTGAGGTGGAAGTTGGGAGAGTTATATATATTTTTTTTGGTGAGGGAGGCCTGCTCTCTCCTTTCCCTGATGTTTAGTTCATTTCATCCCGATCTCCTCTGCATTATTGTAGCCATCTGCTGCAGCCTGTCAACTATGCCTCTGCCTATCCCTGTTCTCTCCTCTCCGCACAGGCTACACAAACGCCTCACACCGCGTGGCTGCTGCCTCTCTAACCTGGTGGTCCCTGCACGCACCACACACCTGGAGTTCCAGGTCTCAGGCAGCCTCTGGAACTGCCATTCTGCCGCCAACAAGGCTGACTTCATCCCAGCCTATGCTACCCTCCAGTCCCTCGACTTCCTGGCGCTGACGGAAACATGGATTACCACTGAAAACACTGCTACTCCTACTGCTCTCTCCTCGTCTGACCATGTGTTCTCGCATACCCCGAGAGCATCTGGTCAGAGGGGTGGTGGCACAGGAATCCTCATCTCTCCCAAGTGGTCATTCTCAATTATTCCCCTAACCCATCTGTCTATCTCCTCATTTGAATTCCACGCTGTCACAGTCACTAGCCCATTTAAGCTTAATATCCTTGTCATCTATCGCCCTCCAGGTTCCCTTGGAGAGTTCATCAATGAGCTTGACGCCTTGATAAGTTCCTTTCCTGAGGATGGCTCACCCTTCACAGTTTTGGGGGATTTCAACCTCCCCACGTCTACATTTGAGTCATTTCTCTCTGCCTCCTTCTTTCCACTCCTCTCCTCTTTTGACCTCACCCTCTCACCATCCCCCCCCCACTCACAAGGCAGGCAATACGCTTGACTTCATCTTTACTAGATGTTGCTCTTCTACTAATCTCACTGCAACTCCCCTCCATGTCTCCGACCACTACTTTGTTTCCTTTTCTCTCTCGCTCTCCTCCAACACTACTCACTCTGTCCCTACACAGATGGTAACGCGCCGCCGCAACCTTCGCTCTCTCTCTCCCACTACTCTCTCCTCTTCCATCCTATCATCTCTTCCCTCTGCTCAATCCTTCTCCCTCCAATCTCCTGATTCTGCCTCCTCAACCCTCCTCTCCTCCCTTTCTGCATCCTTTGACTCCCTGTGTCCCCTATCCTCCCGGCCGGCTCGGTCCTCCCCTCCAGCTCTGTGGCTTGATGACTCATTGCGAGCTCACAGAACAGAGCTCCGGGCAGCTGAGCGGAAATGGAAGAAAACTAAACTCCCTGCCGACCTGGCATCTTTTCACTCCCTCCTCTCTACATTTTCTTCATCTGTTTCTGCTGCTAAGGCCACTTTCTACCACTCTAAATTCCAAGCATCTGCCTCTAACCCTAGGAAGCTCTTTGCCACATTCTCCTCACTGCTGAATCCCCCCCCCCCCCCCCCTCCTCCCTCTCTGTGGATGACTTTGTCAACCACTTTGAAAAGAAGGTTGACGACATCCGATCCTCGTTTGTTAAGTCTAATGACACTGCTGGTCCTGCTCACACTGCCCTACCCTATGCTTTGACTTCTTTCTCCCCTCTCTCTCCAGATAAAATCTTGCGACTAGTGACTGCAGGCCGCCCAACAACCTGCCCGCTTGACCCCATCCCCTCCTTTCTTCTCCAGACCATCTCCGGTGACCTTCTCCCCTACCTCACCTCGCTGATCAACTCATCCTTGACCGCTGGCCATGTCCCTTCCGTCTTCAAGAGAGCGAGTGTTGCACCCCTTCTCAAAAAACCAACACTCGATCCCACTGATGTCAACAACTACAGACCAGTATCCCTTCTTTCTTTTCTTTCCAAAACTATTGAGCGTGCCGTCTTTAGCCAACTCTCTTGCTATCTCTCTCAGAATGACCTTCTTGATCCAAACCAGTCAGGTTTCAGGACTGGTCATTCAACTGAAACTGCTCTTCTCTGTGTCACGGAGGCTCTCCGCACTGCTAAAGCTAACTCTCTCTCCTCTGCTCTTGTCCTTCTAGACCTGTCTGCTGCCTTTGATACTGTGAACCATCAGATCCTCCTCTCCACCCTCTCCGAGCTGGGCATCTCCGGCGCGGCTCACTCCTGGATTGCGTCCTACCTGACCGGTCGCTCCTACCAAGTGGCGTGGCGAGAAGCTGTCTCCGCACCACGTGCTCTCACCACTGGTGTCCCCCAGGGCTCAGTTCTAGGCCCTCTCCTTTTCTCCCTATACACCAAGTCACTTGGCTCTGTCATATCCTCACATGGCCTCTCCTATCATTGCTACGCTGACGATACACAACTAATCTTCTCCTTTCCCCCTTCTGATAACCAGGTGGCGAATCGCATCTCTGCATGTCTGGCCGACATATCAGTATGGATGACGGATCACCACCTCAAGCTGAACCCTGGCAAGACGGAGCTGCTCTTCCTCCCGGGGAAGGACTGCCCGTTCCATGATCTCGCCATCACGGTTGACAACTCCGTTGTGTCCTCCTCCCAGAGTGCGAAGAGCCTTGGCGTGACCCTGGACAACACCCTGTCGTTCTCCGCTAACATCAAGGCGGTGACCCGATCCTGCAGGTTCATGCTCTACAACATTCGGAGAGTACGACCCTGCCTTACACAGGAAGCGGCACAGGTCCTAATCCAGGCACTTGTCATCTCCCGTCTGGATTACTGCAACTCGCTGTTGGCTGGGCTCCCTGCCTGTGCCATTAAACCCCTACAACTCATCCAGAATGCCGCAGCCCGTCTGGTGTTCAACCTTCCCAAGTTCTCTCACGTCACCCCCCCTCCTCCGCACACTCCACTGGCTTCCAGTTGAAGCTCGCATCCGTTACAAGACCATGGTGCTTGCCTATGGAGCAGTGAGGGGAACGGCACCTCCGTACCTTCAGGCTCTGATCAGTCCCTACACCCAGGCGAGGGCATTGCGTTCATCCACCTCTGGCCTGCTGGCTCCCCTTCCTCTGCGGAAGCATAGTTCCCGCTCAGCCCAGTCAAAGCTGTTCGCTGCTCTGGCATCCCAATGGTGGAACAAGCTCCCTCACGACGCCAGGACAGCGGAGTCACTCACCACCTTCCGGAGACATTTGAAACCCCACCTCTTTAAGGAACACCTGGGATAGGATAAAGTAATCCTTCTACCCCCCCCCCCCCCAAAAAAAAGTATAATTGTAAAGTGGTTATCCCACTGGCTATAGGGTGAATGCACCAATTTGTAGTCGCTCTGGATAAGAGCGTCTGCTAAATGACGTAAATGTGCCCTTGAGCAAGGCACTTAACCCTAATTGCTCCTGTAAGTCGCTCTGGATAAGAGCGTCTGCTAAATGACTAAAATGTAAATGTAAATCATGGAGAGCCACCCTCCTGTAGGTTTTCACTCCAACCCTGTTCCTGGAGAGATACCCTCCTGTAGGTTCTCTCTCCAACCCTGATCCTGGAGAGATACCCTCCTGGAGGTTTTAACTCCAACCCTGATCCTGGAGAGCCACCCCCCTGTAGGTTCTCTCTCCAACCCTGATCCTGGAGAGCCACCCTCCTGTAGGTTCTCTCTCCAACCCTGATCCTGGAGAGATACCCTCCTGTAGGTTCTCTCTCCAACCCTGATCCTGGAGAGATACTGTCCTGTAGGTTCTCTCTCCAACCCTGATCCTGGAGAGTTACCGTCCTGTAGGTTCTCTCTCCAACCCTGATCCTGGAGAGCTACCCTCCTGTAGGTTTTCACTCCAACCCTGATCCTGGAGAGCTACCATCCTGTAGGTTTTCACTCCAACCCTAATCTAGCACCTGATTCTAATAATTAATTGGTTGATAAGATTAATCAGGTTATTTACAACTGGGGTTGGAGTGAAAACCTACAGGAGGGTATCTCTCCAGGAACAGGGTTGGGAGCCCTGTGGTATCTTAGCTCACTGGTCACCATAGCAACACCCACCCGTAGTATGCGCTCCAGCAGGTATATCTCACTGGTCATCCCCAAAGCCAACACCTCCTTTGGCCGCCATTCCTTCCAGTTCTCTGCTGCCAATGACTGGAACGAACTGCAAAAATCTCTGAAGCTGGAGACACTTATCTCCCTCACTAACTTTAAGCATCAGTTGTCAGAGCAGCTTACCGATCACTGCACCTGTACACAGCCCATCTGTAATTAGCCCACCCAACTACCTCATCCCCATATTGTTATTTATTTTGCTCATTTGCACCCCAGTATCTCTATTTGCACATCATCTCTTGCACATCTATCATTCCAGTGTTAATTCCAGTGTTAATACTAATTGTACTAATTGTAATTATTTTGCACTATGGCCTATTTATTGCCTTACCTCCATAACTTGCTACATTTGCACACACTGTATATATATTTTCTGTTGTATTTTTGACTTTATGTTTTGTTTTACCCATATGTAACTCTGTGTTGTTGTTTTTAATCGCACTGCTTTGCTTTATCTTGGCCAGGCGCAGTTGTAAATGAGAACTTGTTCTCAACTGGCTTCCTGGTTAAATAAAGGTTAAATAAAAAATAAATAAAAAGTAGAGGCTAGTGGCTAGGGGCTAGTGGCTAGGGGCTAGTGGCTAGGGGCTAGTGGCTAGTGGCTATGGGCTAGTGGCTAGTGGCTATGGGCTAGTGGCTAGTGGCTAGGGGCTAGAGGCTATGGGCTAGGGGCTAGGGGCTAGTGGCTAAGGGCTAGAGGCTAGGGGCTAGTGGCTAGGGGCTAGGGGCTAGTGGCTATGGGCTAGTGGCTAGTGGCTATGGGCTAGTGGCTAGTGGCTAGTGGCTAGGGGCTAGTGGCTATGGGCTAGTGGCTAGGCTAGTGGGGCTAGGGGCTAGGGGCTAGTGGCTAAGGGCTAGAGGCTAGGGGCAAGTGTCTAGGGGCTAGGGGCTAGGGGCTAGTGGCTATGGGCTAGGGGCTAGGGGCTAGTGGCTAGGGGCTAGGGGCTAGAGGCTAGGGGCTAGGGGCTAGTGGCTAGGGCTAGGGGCTAGGGGCTAGGGCTAGGGCTAGGGGCTAGTGGCTAGTGGCTAAGAGGGCTATGGGGCTAGTGGCTAGGGGCTAGGGGCTAGGGCTAGGGCTAGTGGCTAGGGGCTAGTGGCTAGTGGCTAGGGGCTAGAGGGGGCTAGGGCTAGTGGCTAGTGGCTAGGGCTAGGGGCTAGTGGCTAGGGCTAGTGGCTAGGGGCTAGGGCTAGAGGCTAGGGCTAGGGGCTAGTGGCTAGGGCTAGGGCAGTGGCTATGGGCTAGTGGCTAGTGGCTAGGGGCTAGTGGTGGGCTAGTGGCTAGGGGCTAGTGGCTAGTGGCTATGGCTCGAGTGCTATGGGCTAGTGGGCTAGAGGCTAGGGGCTAGTGGCTAGGGGCTAGTGGCTAGGGGCTAGGGGCTGAGGGGCTAGGGCTAGTGGCTATGGAGGGGCTAGGGGCTGGTGGCTAGGTGGCTAGGGGCTAGGGGCTAGTGGCTAGGGCTAGTGGCTAGGAGGGGCTAGGGGCTGAGGGGCTAAGGCGGCCTCTAGGGGCTCATGGCTAGGGCTCAGGGGCATCAGTGGCTAGGCATAGTCGGCCCTGCGCTAGGCAGGGCTGGTTTAGGACCTGGGGCTAGTGGGTGATCCGCTAGGTCAGGGCTGGTTGCTAGGGCTACGGGCTAGGGGGTGATCTGGCTAGGCTAGGGCTATGGTTAGGGAGCTAGGCTGAGGGACAGCGGCTAGGGGGTGATGCTAGGGCTAGGGCTAGTGGCTTAGGGCTGGGCAGCAGGTAGGGCTTATTTGCCGGCTGCTATCAGGGACTGGTTAGGAGCTAGGAACCAGGGGGTGAAGTGCCCCTCTAATCACGGACTGATTAGACCTGGACATCCATGGTGGTGATTCCCCTCTACCAGGGACTGGTTTAGACCTGGGACACCAGGGGGGTGATTCCCCTCTAATCAGGGACTGATTTAGACCTGGGACACCAGGGGGGTGATTCCCCTCTAATCAGGGACTGGTTTAGACCTGGACACCAGGGGGGTGATTCCCCTCTAACCAGGGGACTTGGTTTAGACCTGGGAACAACCATGTGGGTGATCCGATCCCCCTCGAATCAGTGGGACTGAGTTGATCCCTGGGACACCAGGTGGGGGTGATTCCCCCTCTAATCAGGGACTTGGTTTTAGACCTGGGACACCAGGGGGGTGATGCCCCTCTAATCAGTGGGACTGATTTTAGAACCTGGGACCACCCAGGTGGGTGATTCCCCTCTAATCATGGGACTGATTTGAGACGACTGGGACACCAGGTGGGTGATTTTCCCCGCTAATCAGGGACTGATTAGACCATGGGACAAACCAGGTGGGGTTGGATTCCCCGCTGATCAGGGACTGGTTTAGACCCTGGGACTACCAGGTGAGGTGGATTCCCCTCTAACCCAGGGACTGATTTAGACCTGGGACACCAGGTTGGGTGAATCCCCCCTCTAACCAGGAACTGATTTAGACCTGGGACACCAGGTGGGTGATTCCCCTCTGATCAGGGACTGGTTTAGACCTGGGACACCAGGTGGGTGATTCCCCTCTAATCAGGGACTGATTTAGACAGGGACTGGTTTAGACCTGGGACACCAGGTGGGTGATTCCCCTCTAATCAGGGACTGGTTTAGACCTGGGACACCAGGGGGGTGATTCCCCTCTAACCAGGGACTGGTTTAGACCTGGGACACCAGGGGGGTGATTCCCCTCTGATCAGGGACTGATTTAGACCTGGGACACCAGGTGGGTGATTCCCCTCTGATCAGGGACTGATTTAGACCTGGGACACCAGGTGGGTGATTCCCCTCTAATCAGGGACTGGTTTAGACCTGGGACACCAGGTGGGTGATTCCCCTCTGATCAGGGACTGATTTAGACCTGGGACACCAGGTGGGTGATTCCCCTCTAATCAGGGACTGATTTAGACCTGGGACACCAGGTGGGTGATTCCCCTCTAATCAGGGACTGGTTTAGACCTGGGACACCAGGTGGGTGATTCCCCTCTAATCAGGGACTGATTTAGACCTGGGACACCAGGTGGGTGATTCCCCTCTAATCAGGGACTGGTTTAGACCTGGGACACCAGGTGGGTGATCCCCCTCTAATCAGGGACTGATTTAGAACCTAGGATGTAAGGGTTAAGGGTCTAGGGCATTCAACCGGGGGTCCGTGAAAATATAAAAAAGTGAAACAAATATTTGTATTTTAATGTTTGTATGAATATCGCTAGCAAAAACAGAATAAACAAATGTTGAATACATACCTACAGTAAAAAAAAAAGTTTTTCTAATGACGTCAACTTTATTGATCAACTCCTAATATTGAGCCAATTACACTCACTGGCATATCTGAGATAGGCTTTGAAAAAGCACCAGTCAACAGGCCACCAGTCAACAGGCCACCAGTCAACAGGCCACCAGTCAACAGGCCACCAGTCAACAAGCTACCAGTCAACAAGCTACCAGTGTGGCAGTGCCGCTGGCTGCTGGTTCATACCGTTTTGCCAACACATGGCTAACCTTAGTTTAACCAGATTAAAAGCTGCTCTTAGTGAAAGTGTTTGGAGGTGCCCTTCTATCTAAAAGGCTCAGTTAGAGTTTCCACTTCCTCTTCCTGTTATAATGAACAACTATCTACCAAATATTTTCATTTTAAAATGTTGATTACTTCTCCTTGCCATTATCAGTCACCTGATGATAAGACATGACATATTATTGTTTTGTTAACGTATGATGGGGGTCCCTGGGTCGCCAGGAGGGGGGTCCACAGGTAATAAAAGGTTGAACACCCCTGGTCTAGGGGTTAGGGGGTAGAGACTAGGGCCTCACCTAGTGCAGATAGGCAGGAACCACAGTCTCTTGTCGTCTCCAAACACCTGCTGCAGGTTCCTCCTGATCCCCACGTTGAAACCATTACGGTCTGGTCCTGTAGGGAAGACTGGAGCAGAGAACGCCTCTGGATGAGAGGGGAGGGGAGGGGAGGGGAGGGGAGAGGAGGGGAGAGGAGGGGAGGGGAGGGGAGGGGAGGGGAGGGGAGGGGAGGGGAGGGGAGGGGAGGGGAGGGGAGGGGAGGGGGAGGGGAGGCAGAGTCAGAGAGGGAGGGAGGAATAGACTTCAGTGGCTGTGTTTCTCTACACTGCTAATGCCTTGAAACGGGTCTTCTTGGCCTAAACATGGTAGCTACATTTATTACCTAGTGTGGACCTGTTCTTGGCGACCAGCCAGCAGTGGTAGCCGAACAGGAACATGAGACTGACTAAGAACATCAACGCCACGAACATCAGGAAGAGAACGTGGAACTTAGCGGGTCCGTTTGGCAGGTCCCCCTGTAGGGGAACACACACAGACCGGAGATCTAGAACTGTGTAGGAGAACAGGAGAACTAGAACCACAGATAGAACCATGTGAAGCAGTAGACCACCGAAGAACCTCTGCCGTTACACAACAAAGAATGTCTGACTGTTGACACAGTTTAATATGTTACTATGGTCACAGCAGCAGTAGGTCATGTGATCTGACTGTTGACACAGTTTAATATGTTACTATGGTCACAGCAGCAGTAGGTCATGTGATCTGACTGTTGACACAGTTTAATATGTTACTATGGTCACAGCAGCAGTAGGTCATGTGATCTGACTGTTGACACAGTTTAATATGTTACTATGGTCACAGCAGCAGCAGGTCATGTGATCTGACTGTTGACACAGTTTAATATGTTACTATGGTCACAGCAGCAGTAGGTCATGTGATCTGACTGTTGACACAGTTTAATATGTTACTATGGTCACAGCAGCAGTAGGTCATGTGATCTGACTGTTGACACAGTTTAATATGTTACTATGGTCACAGCAGCAGCAGGTCATGTGATCTGACTGTTGACACAGTTTAATATGTTGCTATGGTCACAGCAGCAGTAGGTCATGTGATCTGACTGTTGACACAGTTTAATATGTTACTATGGTCACAGCAGCAGTAGGTCATGTGATCTGACTGTTGACACAGTTTAATATGTTACTATGGTCACAGCAGCAGTAGGTCATGTGATCTGACTGTTGACACAGTTTAATATGTTACTATGGTCACAGCAGCAGTAGGTCATGTGATCTGACTGTTGACACAGTTTAATATGTTACTATGGTCACAGCAGCAGTAGGTCATGTGATCTGACTGTTGACACAGTTTAATATGTTACTATGGTCACAGCAGCAGTAGGTCATGTGATCTGACTGTTGACACAGTTTAATATGTTACTATGGTCACAGCAGCAGTAGGTCATGTGATCTGACTGTTGACACAGTTTAATATGTTACTATGGTCACAGCAGCAGTAGGTCATGTGATCTGACTGTTGACACAGTTTAATATGTTACTATGGTCACAGCAGCAGGTCATGTGATCTGACTGTTGACACAGTTTAATATGTTACTATGGTCACAGCAGCAGCAGGTCATGTGATCTGACTGTTGACACAGTTTAATATGTTACTATGGTCACAGCAGCAGTAGGTCATGTGATCTGACTGTTGACACAGTTTAATATGTTGCTATGGTCACAGCAGCAGCAGGTCATGTGATCTGACTGTTGACACAGTTTAATATGTTACTATGGTCACAGCAGCAGTAGGTCATGTGATCTGACTGTTGACACAGTTTAATATGTTACTATGGTCACAGCAGCAGTAGGTCATGTGATCTGACTGTTGACACAGTTTAATATGTTACTATGGTCACAGCAGCAGCAGGTCATGTGATCTGACTGTTGACACAGTTTAATATGTTACTATGGTCACAGCAGCAGCAGGTCATGTGATCTGACTGTTGACACAGTTTAATATGTTACTATGGTCACAGCAGCAGTAGGTCATGTGATCTGACTGTTGACACAGCTTACATCAATATGTTGCTATGGTCACAGCAGCAGTAGGTCATGTGATCTGACTGTTGACACAGTTTAATATGTTACTATGGTCACAGCAGCAGTAGGTCATGTGATCTGACTGTTGACACAGTTTAATATGTTGCTATGGTCACAGCAGCAGTAGGTCATGTGATCTGACTGTTGACACAGTTTAATATGTTGCTATGGTCACAGCAGCAGTAGGTCATGTGATCTGACTGTTGACACAGTTTAATATGTTACTATGGTCACAGCAGCAGTAGGTCATGTGATCTGACTGTTGACACTGTTTAATATGTTACTATGGTCACAGCAGCAGGTCATGTGATCTGACTGTTGACACAGCTTACATCAATATGTTACTATGGTCACAGCAGCAGCAGGTCATGTGATCTGACTGTTGACACAGTTTAATATGTTACTATGGTCACAGCAGCAGTAGGTCATGTGATCTGACTGTTGACACAGTTTAATATGTTACTATGGTCACAGCAGCAGTAGGTCATGTGATCTGACTGTTGACACAGTTTAATATGTTGCTATGGTCACAGCAGCAGTAGGTCATGTGATCTGACTGTTGACACAGTTTAATATGTTACTATGGTCACAGCAGCAGTAGGTCATGTGATCTGACTGTTGACACAGTTTAATATGTTGCTATGGTCACAGCAGCAGTAGGTCATGTGATCTGACTGTTGACACAGTTTAATATGTTACTATGGTCACAGCAGCAGCAGGTCATGTGATCTGACTGTTGACACAGTTTAATATGTTACTATGGTCACAGCAGCAGTAGGTCATGTGATCTGACTGTTGACACAGTTTAATATGTTACTATGGTCACAGCAGCAGTAGGTCATGTGATCTGACTGTTGACACAGTTTAATATGTTACTATGGTCACAGCAGCAGTAGGTCATGTGATCTGACTGTTGACACAGTTTAATATGTTACTATGGTCACAGCAGCAGCAGGTCATGTGATCTGACTGTTGACATAGTTTAATATGTTACTATGGTCACAGCAGCAGTAGGTCATGTGATCTGACTGTTGACACAGCTTACATCAATATGTTACTATGGTCACAGCAGCAGTAGGTCATGTGATCTGACTGTTGACACAGTTTAATATGTTACTATGGTCACAGCAGCAGGTCATGTGATCTGACTGTTGACACAGCTTACATCAATATGTTACTATGGTCACAGCAGCAGCAGGTCATGTGATCTGACTGTTGACACAGTTTAATATGTTACTATGGTCACAGCAGCAGTAGGTCATGTGATCTGACTGTTGACACAGTTTAATATGTTACTATGGTCACAGCAGCAGTAGGTCATGTGATCTGACTGTTGACACAGTTTAATATGTTACTATGGTCACAGCAGCAGCAGTAGGTTATGTGATCTGACTGTTGACACAGTTTAATATGTTACTATGGTCACAGCAGCAGGTCATGTGATCTGACTGTTGACACAGCTTACATCAATATGTTACTATGGTCACAGCAGCAGTAGGTCATGTGATCTGACTGTTGACACAGTTTAATATGTTACTATGGTCACAGCAGCAGTAGGTCATGTGATCTGACTGTTGACACAGTTTAATATGTTACTATGGTCACAGCAGCAGTAGGTCATGTGATCTGACTGTTGACACAGTTTAATATGTTGCTATGGTCACAGCAGCAGCAGGTCATGTGATCTGACTGTTGACACAGTTTAATATGTTGCTATGGTCACAGCAGCAGTAGGTCATGTGATCTGACTGTTGACACAGCTTACATCAATATGTTGCTATGGTCACAGCAGCAGTAGGTCATGTGATCTGACTGTTGACACAGTTTAATATGTTGCTATGGTCACAGCAGCAGTAGGTCATGTGATCTGACTGTTGACACAGTTTAATATGTTACTATGGTCACAGCAGCAGTAGGTCATGTGATCTGACTGTTGACACAGTTTAATATGTTGCTATGGTCACAGCAGCAGTAGGTCATGTGATCTGACTGTTGACACAGTTTAATATGTTACTATGGTCACAGCAGCAGTAGGTCATGTGACTAGGGCTCTATTCTGGTCTAAAGTAGTGCACTATATAGGGAATAGGGTGCCATTCTCTGGTCTAAAGTAGTGCACTATATAGGGAATAGGGTGCCATTCTCTGGTCTAAAGTAGTGCACTATATAGGGAATAGGGTGCCATTCTCTGGTCTAAAGTAGTGCTCTATATAGGGAATAGGGTGCCATTCTCTGGTCTAAAGTAGTGCACTATATAGGGAATAGGGTGCCATTTGAGATCCCTAAGCTGTGATGTAAATCGTCCATCACCACTCACCACCCAGAAGTTGATGAAGTATCTGAAGACGGAGGCACTGATGAACACACAGTAGACCATGGAGTAGGACAGGAAGAGGAGGAAGAACTTGTAGTTAGAGAACCCCACACAGTTATTCACCCTGAAGAGAGAGAGAGACACAGTTATTCACCCTGAAGAGAGAGAGAGAGAGAGAGAGAGAGAGAGAGAGAGAGAGAGAGAGAGAGAGAGACAGAGAGAGAGAGAGAGAGAGAGAGAGACAGAGAGAGAGAGAGAGAGTTATTTACCCTGAAGAGAGAGAGAGAGAGAGAGAGAGAGAGAGAGAGAGAGAGAGAGAGAGAGAGAGACAGTTATTCACCCTGAAGAGAGAGAGAGAGAAAATTTGAAAACAAACCCAATTTTGATAAACTCCCTTATCTACTGGGTGAAAAACCACAGTGTGCCATCACAGCTACAAGATTTGTGACCTGTTGCCACAAGAAAAGGGCAACCAGTGAAGAACAAACACATTTTGTAAATACAACCCATATTTATGTTTATTTATTTTCCCATTTGTACTTTAACTATTTGCACATCGTTACAACACTGTATATAGACATAATATGACATTTGAAATGTCTCTTATTTTGGAACTTCTGAGACAACATGAAATTAGTATCAGTTAGCAGGTGGAACATTCAGAGCCTAAACTCATCAACCTTTGGACTGAAGAGTTTAGCAAAAAAAATTTAAATTAAAGATGTTGACGTCATCATTCCGCAGGAGACATGGTATAAGGCAGACATTGTCACTCACGGTCCCACAGGCTACAGAGAGGTAATTGTGTCGTCACAGAAACACAGCTCTGTCAATAGAGGCAGAGACTCTGGAGGATTGATCATTTGGTACAAATCCGAACAACAAAATCAAATTGATCCCCTCAAAATTGGTCATTTATCACATTTGGTTAAAACTGAAAAAATAATTTGTATTGACAGAAAAATGTGTGTTCCTTTGCGCAATATATATCCCCCCCCCCGGTCAGAATCCCCATATTACTCAGAGGAGATATTCCCCAGCCTTGAGGAAGAGACGTGCCATTTCCAGGCCCAGGGAAATGTGCTCATCTGTGGGGACACAAATACACTGACAGGAACACTACCTGATCTAACGACCACACGAGGGGACAGCTTCATTACAGGCCATACTGTATCTAACTGTCTTAATCTCCCCCATAGAAACAACAGTGACAGCACCATCAACAGAAACGGAAGGGATCTGTTGCGGCTCTGTCGAAGCCTGGGTCTGTACTTTGTCAGTGGTAGGTTACGGGGGACTCTTTGGGGAGATTCCCCTATTGCTCACCTCTTGGCCACAGCACAGTAGACTATATGATTACAGACATTGACCCTTTCTCTCTCAGCTCATTCACCGTCAAGCCACTAACACCTCTGTCTGATCACAGACAACATGGAAACAGCCCAGTGAGCTGCACAACATCAGAACTTCATACAGATGGGCCCAAAACAGCACAGAAGAATACCCAGAAAGCAACCAGTAACCAAAATATCCAAACACTTTTAGATAACTTTCTGGATACCACATACCATTCATAATCTTGAATTACACCTTTATTACTATGAGACTTTAAAACTCTATAAACGTAGACTCAGAACCAAAAAAACCAACAACAGCAAGCATCAGAACCAACCAGCCCAGTCCTACAGCAAGCAGCAGAACCAACCAGCCCAGTCCTACAGCAAGCAGCTGAACCAACCAGCCCGGTCCAACAGCAAGCAGCTGAACCAACCAGCCCAGTCCAACAGCACGCAGCTGAACCAACCAGCCCAGTCCAACAGCACGCAGCTGAACCAACCAGCCCAGTCCAACAGCAAGCGGCTGACACTAATTGAGGAGTCCATAAACACAAACAACTTCTGGCAAAATTGGTAACCCCCCCCAAAAAATCGAAACTATAGGAATTAGCGATACAAAATGGTGACATATGGACAGCCCATTTTAAAACACTCTACAACACCGTTCAAATTGACACAAACGCAGAACAATGACAAATTCATGAGAAGTTGAATGGATTAGAAAAAGCTATAAAAGGGACATCCATTGGACTCTCCAATTACTGACACAGAGCTCTTTAAGAAACTTCAGGCCCTCAAATTTAAAAAAAAGCATGTGGACCTGATGTCATCCTAAATGAGATGCTCAAATTCACTAGTGCAAAATGTCAATTGGCTATATTAAAACTGTTTAATTTGATCCTGAGTGTAGGTTATTTTCCTGACATCTGGAATCAAGGACTCATAACCCCAATCTTTAAGAACGGAGACAAATTTGACCCTAACAATTCCAGAGCCATTTGTGTGAACAGTAACCTGGGGAAGGTTTTCTGTAGTATTATACATGCAAGAGTTCTAAACTTCTTTAATAAGCACAATGTCTTGAGTAAAAGCCAAATTGAATTTATACCAAAACATCACACGACCGATCCTATTTACACCCTACACACCCTGATAGATAAACATGTCCACCAAAATAATACCAAAATGTACGCTTGCTTTATCGACTTCCAAAAAGCACTTGATTCTATTTGGCATACAGGAATGTTCTACAAAGTTATTGAGAGTGGTGTAGGGGGAAAAACATATGACATAATTAAATTAAATACATGCAGTATCAAAATTGGCAAGAAAATAACAGAATTCTTTAACCAGGGGCGGGGCCTTCGCCAGGGTTGTAATCTGAGCCCTGCACTCTTCAATATTTACATCAACGAATTGGCCACTGTTCTAGAAAAATCCTCAGCCCCTGGTGTTAGTCTCCACAATTCAGAGGTTAAATGCCTGCTCTTGGCAGATGACCTATGCCTGCTGTCACCCACAGCACATGGCCTACAGCAGAGCCTGGACCTGCTAGAGCAGTACTGACAGACCTGGGCCCTGGCAGTAAACCCACAGCACATGGCCTACAGCCGAGCCTGGACCTGCTAGAGCAGTACTGACAGACCTGGGCCCTGGCAGTAAACCCCCAAAAAGACTCAAATAATGATTTTCCAGAGAAGATCTCAGGGAATTAGACCAAAGTTCTCAATCGGTACAAAATACACTATAATTCCTTAGGTTTAAATATATAGAGTACAGCACACACTACAATAAGCTCAACTGGACACCTTAATGAGGCAGTGAATGAACAGAGAGAACGCATGCAGGGCCTTCTACGCAATTAAAAAACTAATTAAAATACCTATTCAAATCTGCCTAAAAACTAATTGAATGTGTCACTGATTGCACTTTATGGCAGTGAGGTGTGGGGTCCATTTGCAAAACAAGATTTCACCAAATGGGACAAACACCCCATTGAAACCCTGCATGCAGAGTTCTGGAAGATTCTCCTACATGTCCAGAGGAAAACTACAAACAATGCATGCTGGGCAGAATTAGGCCAATGTCCACTAATAATAAAAACTAAAAAAATAGCAATTAAGTTTTGTAAACATCTAAAATACAGTGACCCCCTCTCATATCATTACCAAGCCCTGCAATGCCAAGAGCTGAGCAAAGAAAAGAGTCCCCTCATCCAGCTGGTCCTGGGGCTGAGTTCACAAACCTGTTCTACTAACACACTGAAGCCTCAGGACCAGAACATCCAATCAATCAGAATAAACCAAATTACAACAATTACAAAACTACATTACTTATTGGGAAACACAAGCACAAGCAAAATGCAGTGCTATCTGGCCCTACATCGACAGTACACCGTGGCAAACTATCTGACCATGGTTACTGATCAAAACCTTAGAAAAACCTTGACAAAGTACAGGCTCAGTGAGCACAGCCTTTCCATTGAGAAGGGTAGACACATGAAAACCTGGCTCCCTGTGGAGGAAAGGCTGTGCAACCACTGCACCACAGCAGAACCTGAGACAGAGCTGCATTTCCTGACAAAATGTCAACATTATAAAACTATTAGAGAGTCATTTCCCCAAATATGAAACCCTTATTCAAGGTTTCAAAGACCTCTCTGATGAGGACAGGCTACCCTTCCTGTTGGGGGAGGACGCAGGCTACCCGTCCTGTTGGGGGAGGACTCAGGCTACCCGTCCTGTTGGGGGAGGACTCAGGCTACCCGTCCTGTTGGGGGAGGACTCAAGCTACCCGTCCTGTTGGGGGAGGACGCAGGCTACCCGTCCTGTTGGGGGAGGTCTCAGGCTACCCGTCCTGTTGGGGGAGGACTCAGGCTACCCGTCCTGTTGGGGGAGGACGCAGGCTACCCGTCCTGTTGGGGGAGGACTCAAGCTACCCGTCCTGTTGGGGGAGGACACAGGCTACCCGTCCTGTTGGGGGAGGACTCAGGCTACCCGTCCTGTTGGGGGAGGACTCAGGCTACCCGTCCTGTTGGGGGAGGAGGCAGGCTACCCGTCCTGTTGGGGGAGGACGCAGGCTACCCGTCCTGTTGGGGGAGGACGCAGGCTACCCATCCTGTTGGGGGAGGACGCAGGCTACCCGTCCTGTTGGGGGAGGACTCAGGCTACCCGTCCTGTTGGGGGAGGACGCAGAGAGCTGTGGGTTGGCAGCGCACTACATTGCTGCCTGCCATAAGATGAGGGACAGTGTCTGACAGACAAACCAACCTGCACATGTCCTCTATGTTGTTATTGTTCAATGGTTATTTTGACCCTTGATTATTGTTGTTACGGATTGTCCCGTTGACAATATTGATAATTATAATTTTAATTATGTTAATATTGTAAATGTATCACTTCATCTCCAAAGTACGCTTTGGCAATATGTACATTGTTACGTCATGCCAATAAAGGAAATTGAATTGATACACAGTTATTCAACCTGCTGAGAAAGAGACAGACAGAGAGCGTGCGAGAGAGAGAGATACGCAGTTATTCACCCTGGAGAGAGAGAGAGAGAGAGGGAGAGTGAGAGAAAGAGAGAGAGATACGCAGTTATTCACCCTGGAGAGAGAGAGAGAGAGAGGGAGAGAGTGAGAGAAAGAGAGAGAGAGAGAGAAAGAGAGAGAGACAGAGAGAGAGAGAGGGAGAGTGAGAGAAAGAGAGAGAGAGAGAGAGTGAGAGAAAGAGAGAGAGAGAGAGAAAGAGAGAGAGACAGAGAGTGAGAGAAAGAGAGAGAGAGAGAGATGCACAGTTATTCACCCTGGATAGAGAGAGACAGACAGACACAGTAGCATCAGGATCAAATGAAAGACGTAATTTATTTACTTACTAAATGTTATTACAAAATGTACGTATTTACAGCTAATACATAATGAACAGACAGTATTAACCACCCACCATGGACAGTGATGATCCATCTTCAGGACACACCTGCAACAGACAACACAGATCACTAGACTGGTGTAAAGGAAGCAACTACCATTAGAACACATTCAACCATTCTTACATCAACATAAAAGGTGTGCAACTTTTTTATTTACTTTGAGAAAACTGTAAAGAGATTAATTTTGGGGTTGAAATGTCTGTCTATACACCATTGCAGTAAACATGTCCGATTTCAGTATTTCCACGGCCCATTCATCAGTCAGGCCCCCAGGGAAGGAAGGGCCTAGTAGTTGGCCAGAGTTTAGTCATCATCATTAACAGGACAGCTGTTGTTCTCCAGGTAAACAAGAGATCCTAATGCTGTCCAATCAGAGGTGGACTGGTGTCACCTTTCTAATGCTGTCCAATCAGAGGTGGACTGGTGTCACCTTTCTAATGCTGTCCAATCAGAGGTGGACTGGTGTCACCTTTCTAATGCTGTCCAATCAGAGGTGGACTGGTGTCACCTTTCTAATGCTGTCCAATCAGAGGTGGACTGGTGTCACCTTTCTAATGCTGTCCAATCAGAGGTGGACTGGTGTCACCTTTCTAATGCTGTCCAATCAGAGGTGGACTGGTATCACCTTCCTAATGCTGTCCAATCAGAGGTTCAATCAGAGGTGGACTGGTGTCACCTTCCTAATGCTGTCCAATCAGAGGTGGACTGGTGTCACCTTTCTAATGCTGTCCAATCAGAGGTGGACTGGTGTCACCTTTCTAATGCTGTCCAATCAGAGGTGGACTGCTGTCACCTTTCTAATGCTGTCCAATCAGAGGTGGACTGGTGTCACCTTTCTAATGCTGTCCAATCAGAGGTGGACTGGTGTCACATTTCTAATGCTGTCCAATCAGAGGTGGACTGGTGTCACCTTTCTAATGCTGTCCAATCAGAGGTGGACTGGTGTCACCTTCCTAATGCTGTCCAATCAGAGGTTCAATCAGAGGTGGACTGGTGTCACCTTTCTAATGCTGTCCAATCAGAGGTGGACTGGTGTCACCTTTCTAATGCTGTCCAATCAGAGGTGGACTGGTGTCACCTTTCTAATGCTGTCCAATCAGAGGTGGACTGGTGTCACCTTCCTAATGCTGTCCAATCAGAGGTGGACTGGTGTGACCTTCCTAATGCTGTCCAATCAGATCAGTGTTACCTGTCCACAGACAGGGAGACAGGTATGGGTCTGTGTGACAGAGCAGGGGAGGAGACTTACGTTTCACAGACAGAGCAGTGGTGACTGCGGTCAGGCTTCAGCACCTGGCATCGGTCACAGAACCTGATAGCTGAGGGGACACACACACACACACACACACACACACACACACACACACACACACACACACACACACACAACACAACACAACACACACACAACACAACACAACACAACACACACAACACAACACAACCACACACACACACACACACACACACACACACACAACACACACACAACACACACACACACAACACACAACACACACAACACACACACACACACACACACACACACACACACAACACAACACACACACACACAACACACACACACGAGAAGCCATATGATCCTCCACTTCCCTTATCTTATCTTACAGACACTTCGAGGCTGGAGGATATTAGGTTGTAGATGACAAACTGATGGGTAACAGTACGTCATGTTTGATCTGTTTGCTAACAGGACTGGAGAAGATAGGGTGCGTCCCATTGACACTATATTCATTATGTAGTGCACTACAAAGGGTGCCATTTGGGACGCTGCTCTGGATATGAGTGGTTCACCTCCAGACGTAGCTCTAGTGAAGATGGGGAGTCTCTTCGCGATGTCCACCAGGATCTGTTTCTGACCATCAGGCCTCTCCTCCCTCTCATAACGCTCCTTATCAGAGTACGACAGATGGAACTGGAACCAACAACCACATGTTAGAATGCTCTACCACTGCTTATAAGCATGTATGAGCCTTGATGAAGCATGTATGAGCCTTGATGAAGCATGTATGAGCCTTGATGAAGCATGTATGAGCCTTGATCAAGCATGTATGAGCCTTGATCAAGCATGTATGAGCCTTGATCAAGCATGTATGAGCCTTGATCAAGCATGTATGAGCCTTGATCAAGCATGTATGAGCCTTGATCAAGCATGTATGAGCATCTCCTCTCTCTCATAACGCTCCTTATCTGAATACAACAGCTGGAACTTGAACCATTCACAAGCTGATAACACAGGGCTTTGAATCACCTCATGATTATGAGCACAACGTTCTATGGTTATTATAGACAACATTATATTCAAAAGCTTTCAGCAACATAAAAAGCGAAGGGATTACGTTAGTCAACAGGGATCATGCTCTATTAGGCTGCTTGTTATAGGCTAAGCATGTACTGTATATAGCCTTTTTCACACTGTCAGTTTGAAGTGACTGAAATCCAAATATTTTGCATATCCGATTTCAAATCTGTACTTTTTCCTGCAGTCCGAACAGCCAAAGAGCACATGGAATCAGATATTTAAAGCAACATTGCAACTTGTCTGAACGGTCAAATCTGATTTATTTGCCCTCAAGTGGTTTTTAGACTGTTATTTGGCATATCTTGTTGCTTGCTAGCTACTCTGTTGACAGTTTGACAAGAACATGTGGTAGCCAACTAGCTTGTTAATTAGTGAATGTGCTAGAAAGCTAACCAGCTACCTAGCTAGCTAATTGACTGCTGTGGCTAGACAAAAATGACTCGTTTTGAAAGTTGGGATCATCTCATCCTTTGAGGCTTTAAAAATGTCCTTACACTATGATTTTGAACATTCAAAGCAACTGGGAAACGTCCATGGCAGGCATTGTTGTCACCTTAGCTTGCTACATAACTTCTGAGTGACGGGAAGCACACTACGAGCACCACCGATCAGCCTACACCACTGCCCCCAACACCCGTCGTTACTATGACAACTTGTGTAGCCAAGTCAGCAAATGACCCGCTGTCTGAACACACACAAATTCAAGTCACTTTGTAACTTGCTGTTTGGACAGTCAGTATTCCAAAACGGATTTGAAAAATAAAACTCATTAAATCATTAAGGCCCCGCAGTCCTACCTTCTTACAGGGTGAAGCAGGAGGAGTGAAGATGGCCTTCCAATAGGTCCAGGAGAACATCACAAAACACACATGGAACACCAGCAGGTAGGCCACTGGAAACGCAGACAGGTGCAACACTTAGGGAACTACGCCTATCAAGCTGATATTCACGTGTCTACAAGATGTCAGATGACTAATCTGACCACGGATGAAAGCCTATGTGTTAAAAACTCACCCTTCTCCAATGTGTTGCTGATAGTGACTGTAAAGAACACACATTATTATGAATTATTGACAATTGTTATGAATTATTGACATGAAAACAGCTGATGTAGCAAAGCTATTTGGTTGCTGAGGCTGCTCACACTGGGGTGTGAAGACAGTGACTGACACATATCTGTTGTTGGCCAACAAAACACCATGTTACAGTCTGACAGTTTAGACAGTGATTACTTCACACCTGTAGTTACAGTAGCTAGCTAGCTAATATACTGTCTTATCACAACATAGGTAGCTAGCTAGCTAGCTACATTTTGTAACGTTAATTACCTTTAAATATATAGCTAGCTATGTTTTTATTTATTTGTTAGATTTGGTAGGTAAATGTAACACCAGTATAATTCGTTATCAAATGGAATTGGGGGGAAAAAAACAGTACAATATGATCATACTAGCTAGATTTGTTAAGAAAGGCTCCATTCTGAAAAACCCCCACTTCCTGGTTAGCATGATGCTAGATTTGGCTAGCAGGTTTAAAGGGCATTTTGCATTGGAGCTTCAGTGTCAGTAACGTTAGCTAGCTACCATCGCGGACAATACGACGAAAACATAACAGACAAACATTCATAATTCCCATACTTACATAAACATAGCTCAAATACATAGGCGTAGTAGGACCACAGGACCACGGAGGTGATTATGAGGACAGGTATCCAGGAAAACACACGGGCACAGCATCTCAGACCTCGGGAAAGAGCCATTATCCATCTCCGACTAAACAGGCTCCACAATCATATTCTCTACGCTCCACTACGCAGCCTGGGAGGTGACTACCGGTATATAAATCTGCGATCGATTAATGCGTTGACCGTGCCACAGATAAAGCAATGATATATACAAATATTTGACTGTGCTGTCGAAATGGTTAGTGCTATCTGTAATCCTTGGGACCCTAGCCTTGACCTTAACCCTTACCCTAACCTTAACCATAACCCTTACCTGCTATCTAGTGATAAACCAAGTCACTGGGGGACCAAGCTGCTATCTAGTGACAAACCAAGTCACTGGGGGACCAAGCTGCTATTTAGTGACAAACCAAGTCACTGGGGGCCCCCTGCTATCTAGTGACAAACCAAATCACTGGGGGCCCCCAGCTATCTAGTGACAAACCAAGTCAATAGGGAACCAAGCTGCTATCTAGTGACAAATCAAGTCACTGGGGGACCAAGCTGCTATTTAGTGACAAACCAAGTCACTGGGGGCCCCCAGCTATCTAGTGACAAACCAAGTCACTGGGGGACCAGGCTGCTATCTAGTGACAAACCAAGTCAATAGGGAACCAAGCTGCTATCTAGTGTCAAACCAGGTCACTGTGGGACCAAGCTGCTATTTAGTGACAAACCAAGTCACTGGGGGACCAGGCTGCTATCTAGTGACAAACCAAATCACTGGTGGACCAAGATGCTATCTAGTGACAAACCAAGTCACTTGGGGACACCTGCTAACTGGTGACAAACCAAGTCACTGGGGGACCAAGCTGCTATCTAGTGACAAACCAAGTCAATGGGGGACCAGGCTGCTATCTAGTGACAAACCAAGTCACTGGGGGCCCCCTGCTATCTAGTGACAAACCAAGTCAATGGGGGACCAGGCTGCTATCTAGTGACAAACCAAGTCACTGGGGGCCCCCTGCTATCTAGTGACAAACCAAGTCACTGGGGGATTAGATTTAGATTACATTTTAGTCATTTAGCAGACGCTCTTATCCAGAGCGACTTACAGTTAGTGAATCATTATTTTTATTTGTTTTTTCATACTGGCCCCCCGTGGGAATCCAACCCACAACCCTACCAACTGAGCTACATCCCTGCCGGCCATTCCCTCCCCTACCCTGGGCCAATTGTACGCTGCCCCATGGGTCTCCCGGTCACGGCCGGCTACAACAGAGCCTGGATTCGAACCGGGATCTCTAGTGGCACAGTTAGCACTGCGATGCAGCGCCTTAGACCACTGGGCCACTCGGGAGTACCCCGAACACTATCTAGTGACAAACCAAGTCAATGGGGCACCAGCCTGCTATCTAGTGACAAACCAAGTCACTGTGGGACCAAGATGCTATCTAGTGACAAACCAAGTCACTGGGGGACCAGGCTGCTATCTAGTGACAAACCAAGCCACTGTGGGACCAGGCTGCTATCTAGTGACAAACCAAATAACTGTGGGACCATGATGCTATCTAGTAACAAACCAGGTCACTGTGGGACCAAGCTGCTATCTAGTAACAAACCAAGTCACTGGGGGCTCCCTGCTATTTAGTAACAAACCAGGTCACTGTGGGACCAAGCTGCTATCTAGTAACAAACCAAGTCACTGGGGGCTCCCTGCTATTTAGTGACAAACCAAGTCAATGGGGGACCAGGCTGCTATCTAGTGACAAACGAAGTCAATGGGGGACCAGGCTGCTATCTAGTGACAAATCAAGTCAATGGGGGACCAGACTGCTATCTAGTGACAAACCAAATAACTGTCGGACCAAGATGCTATCTAGTAACAAACCAAGTCACTGGGGGACCAGGCTGCTATATAGTGACAAACCAAGTCAATGGGGGACCAGGCTGCTATCTAGTGACAAGCCAAGTCAATGGGGGACCAGCCTGCTATCTAGTGACAAACCAAGTCACTGGGGGACAGGGCTGCTATCTAGTGACAAATCAAGTCACTGGGGGACCAGGCTGCTATCTAGTAACAAACCAAGTCACTGGGGCTCCCTGCTATTTAGTGTCAAACCAAGTCACTGTGGGACCAGGCTGCTATCTAGTGACAAACCAAATAACTGTGGGACCAAGATGCTATCTAGTAAAAACCAAGTCAATGGGGGACCAGGCTGCTATCTAGTGACAAACCAAGTCAATGGGGGACCAGCCAGCTATCTAGTGACAAACCAAATAACTGTCGGACCAAGATGCTATCTAGTAACAAACCAAGTCAATGGGGGACCAGGCTGCTATTTAGTAACAAACCAGGTCACTGTGGGACCAAGCTGCTATCTAGTAACAAACCAAGTCACTGGGGGCTCCCTGCTATTTAGTGACAAACCAAGTCAATGGGGGACCAGGCTGCTATCTAGTGACAAACCAAGTCAATGGGGGACCAGGCTGCTATCTAGTGACAAATCAAGTCAATGGGGGACCAGACTGCTATCTAGTGACAAACCAAATAACTGTCGGACCAAGATGCTATCTAGTAACAAACCAAGTCACTGGGGGACCAGGCTGCTATCTAGTGACAAACCAAGTCAATGGGGGACCAGGCTGCTATCTAGTGACAAACCAAGTCAATGGGGGACCAGCCTGCTATCTAGTGACAAACCAAGTCACTGGGGGACCAGGCTGCTATCTAGTGACAAACCAAGTCAATGGGGGACCAGGCTGCTATCTAGTGACAAGCCAAGTCAATGGGGGACCAGCCTGCTATCTAGTGACAAACCAAGTCACTGGGGGACAGGGCTGCTATCTAATGACAAATCAAGTCACTGGGGGACCAGGCTGCTATCTAGTAACACACCAAGTCACTGGGGCTCCCTGCTATTTAGTGTCAAACCAAGTCACTGTGGGACCAGGCTGCTATCTAGTGACAAACCAAGTCACTGTGGGACCAAGATGCTATCTAGTGACAAACCAAGTCACTGGGGGACCAGGCTGCTATCTAGTGACAAACCAAGCCACTGTGGGACCAGGCTGCTATCTAGTGACAAACCAAATAACTGTGGGACCATGATGCTATCTAGTAACAAACCAGGTCACTGTGGGACCAAGCTGCTATCTAGTAACAAACCAAGTCACTGGGGGCTCCCTGCTATTTAGTAACAAACCAGGTCACTGTGGGACCAAGCTGCTATCTAGTAACAAACCAAGTCACTGGGGGCTCCCTGCTATTTAGTGACAAACCAAGTCAATGGGGGACCAGGCTGCTATCTAGTGACAAACGAAGTCAATGGGGGACCAGGCTGCTATCTAGTGACAAATCAAGTCAATGGGGGACCAGACTGCTATCTAGTGACAAACCAAATAACTGTCGGACCAAGATGCTATCTAGTAACAAACCAAGTCACTGGGGGACCAGGCTGCTATATAGTGACAAACCAAGTCAATGGGGGACCAGGCTGCTATCTAGTGACAAGCCAAGTCAATGGGGGACCAGCCTGCTATCTAGTGACAAACCAAGTCACTGGGGGACAGGGCTGCTATCTAGTGACAAATCAAGTCACTGGGGGACCAGGCTGCTATCTAGTAACAAACCAAGTCACTGGGGCTCCCTGCTATTTAGTGTCAAACCAAGTCACTGTGGGACCAGGCTGCTATCTAGTGACAAACCAAATAACTGTGGGACCAAGATGCTATCTAGTAACAAACCAAGTCAATGGGGGACCAGGCTGCTATCTAGTGACAAACCAAGTCAATGGGGGACCAGCCAGCTATCTAGTGACAAACCAAATAACTGTCGGACCAAGATGCTATCTAGTAACAAACCAAGTCAATGGGGGACCAGGCTGCTATTTAGTAACAAACCAGGTCACTGTGGGACCAAGCTGCTATCTAGTAACAAACCAAGTCACTGGGGGCTCCCTGCTATTTAGTGACAAACCAAGTCAATGGGGGACCAGGCTGCTATCTAGTGACAAACCAAGTCAATGGGGGACCAGGCTGCTATCTAGTGACAAATCAAGTCAATGGGGGACCAGACTGCTATCTAGTGACAAACCAAATAACTGTCGGACCAAGATGCTATCTAGTAACAAACCAAGTCACTGGGGGACCAGGCTGCTATCTAGTGACAAACCAAGTCAATGGGGGACCAGGCTGCTATCTAGTGACAAACCAAGTCAATGGGGGACCAGCCTGCTATCTAGTGACAAATCAAGTCACTGGGGGACCAGGCTGCTATCTAGTGACAAACCAAGTCAATGGGGGACCAGGCTGCTATCTAGTGACAAGCCAAGTCAATGGGGGACCAGCCTGCTATCTAGTGACAAACCAAGTCACTGGGGGACAGGGCTGCTATCTAATGACAAATCAAGTCACTGGGGGACCAGGCTGCTATCTAGTAACACACCAAGTCACTGGGGCTCCCTGCTATTTAGTGTCAAACCAAGTCACTGTGGGACCAGGCTGCTATCTATTGACAAACCAAATAACTGTGGGACCAAGATGCTATCTAGTAACAAACCAAGTCAATGGGGGACCAGGCTGCTATCTAGTGACAAACCAAGTCAATGGGGGACCAGCCAGCTATCTAGTGACAAACCAAATAACTGTCGGACCAAGATGCTATCTAGTAACAAACCAAGTCAATGGGGGACCAGGCTGCTATTTAGTAACAAACCAGGTCACTGTGGGACCAAGCTGCTATCTAGTAACAAACCAAGTCACTGGGGGCTCCCTGCTATTTAGTGACAAACCAAGTCAATGGGGGACCAGGCTGCTATCTAGTGACAAACCAAGTCAATGGGGGACCAGGCTGCTATCTAGTGACAAATCAAGTCAATGGGGGACCAGACTGCTATCTAGTGACAAACCAAATAACTGTCGGACCAAGATGCTATCTAGTAACAAACCAAGTCACTGGGGGACCAGGCTGCTATCTAGTGACAAACCAAGTCAATGGGGGACCAGGCTGCTATCTAGTGACAAACCAAGTCAATGGGGGACCAGCCTGCTATCTAGTGACAAATCAAGTCACTGGGGGACCAGGCTGCTATCTAGTGACAAATCAAGTCACTGGGGGACCAGGCTGCTATCTAGTAACAAACCAAGTCACTGGGGCTCCCTGCTATTTAGTGTCAAACCAAGTCACTGTGGGACCAGGCTGCTATCTAGTGACAAACCAAATAACTGTGGGACCAAGATGCTATCTAGTAACAAACCAAGTCAATGGGGGACCAGGCTGCTATCTAGTGACAAACCAAGTCAATGGGGGACCAGCCAGCTATCTAGTGACAAACCAAGTCAATGGGGGACCAGCCAGCTATCTAGTAAAAAAAACAAGTCAATGGGGGCTCCCTGCTATTTAGTGACAAACCAAGTCACTGCGGGACCAGGCTGCTATCTAGTGACAAACCAAGTCAATGGGGGACCAGCCAGCTATCTAGTGACAAACCAAGTCAATGGGGGACCAGCCAGCTATCTAGTGACAAATCAAGTCAGTGGGGGCTCCCTGCTATTTAGTGACAAACCAAGTCACTGCGGGACCAAGCTGCTAATTAGTGTCAAACCAAGTCACTGGTGGACCAAGCTGCTATTTAGTGTCAAACCAAGCCACTGTGGGACCAGGCTGCTATCTAGTGACAAACCAAATAACTGTGGGACCAAGATGCTATCTAGTAACAAACCAGGTCACTGTGGGACCAAGCTGCTATCTAGTAACAAACCAAGTCACTGGGGGCTCCCTGCTATTTAGTAACAAACCAGGTCACTGTGGGACCAAGCTGCTATATACAGTGGGGAAAAAAAGTATTTAGTCAGCCACCAATTGTGCAAGTTCTCCCACTTAAAAAGATGAGAGAGGCCTGTAATTTTCATCATAGGTACACGTCAACTATGACAGACAAAATGAGAAATAAAATTCCAGAAAATCACATAGTAGGATTTTTAATGAATTTATTTGCAAATTATGGTGGAAAATAAGTATTTGGTCAATAACAAAAGTTTCTCAATACTTTGTTATATACCCTTTGTTGGCAATGACACAGGTCAAATGTTTTCTGTAAGTCTTCACAAGGTTTTCACACATTGTTGCTGGTATTTTGGCCCATTCCTCCATGCAGATCTCCTCTAGAGCAGTGATGTTTTGGGGCTGTCGCTGGGCAACACGGACTTTCAACTCCCTCCAAAGATTTTCTATGGGGTTGAGATCTGGAGACTGGCTAGGCCACTCCAGGACCTTTAAATGCTTCTTACGAAGCCTCTCCTTCGTTGCCCGGGCGGTGTGTTTGGGATCATTGTCATGCTGAAAGACCCAGCCACGTTTCATCTTCAATGCCCTTGCTGATGGAAGGAGGTTTTCACTCAAAATCTCACGATACATGGCCCCATTCATTCTTTCCTTTACACGGATCAGTCGTCCTGGTCCCTTTGCAGAAAAACAGCCCCAAAGCATGATGTTTCCACCCCCATGCTTCACAGTAGGTATGGTGCAACTCAGCATTCTTTGTCCTCCAAACACAACGAGTTGAGTTTTTACCTAAAAGTTCTATTTTGGTTTCATCTGACCATATGACATTATCCCAATCCTCTTCTGGATCATCCAAATGCACTCTAGCAAACTTCAGACGGGCCTGGACATGTACTGGCTTAAGCAGGGGGACACGTCTGGCACTGCAGGATTTGAGTCCCTGGCGGCGTAGTGTGTTACTGATGGTAGGCTTTGTTACTTTGGTCCCAGCTCTCTGCAGGTCATTCACTAGGTCCCCCCGTGTGGTTCTGGGATTTTTGCTCACCATTCTTGTGATCATTTTGACCCCACGGGGTGAGAACTTGCGTGGAGCCCCAGATCGAGGGAGATTATCAGTGGTCTTGTATGTCTTCCATTTCCTAATAATTGCTCCCACAGTTGATTTCTTCAAACCAAGCTGCTTACCTATTGCAGATTCAGTCTTCCCAGCCTGGTGCAGGTCTACAATTTTGTTTCTGGTGTCCTTTGACAGCTCTTTGGTCTTGGCCATAGTGGAGTTTGGAGTGTGACTGTTTGAGGTTGTGGACAGGTGTCTTTTATACTGATAACAAGTTCAAACAGGTGCCATTAATACAGGTAACGAGTGGAGGACAGAGGAGCCTCTTAAAGAAGAAGTTACAGGTCTGTGAGAGCCAGAAATCTTGCTTGTTTGTAGGTGACCAAATACTTATTTTCCACCATCATTTGCAAATAAATTCATTAAAAATCCTACAATGTGATTTTCTGGAATTTTTTTTCTCAATTTGTCTGTCATAGTTGATGTGTACCTATGATGAAAATTACAGGCCTCTCTCATCTTTTTAAGTGGGAGAACTTGCACAATTGGTGGCTGACTAAATACTTTTTTTCCCCACTGTAGTAACAAACCAAGTCACTGGGGGCTCCCTGCTATTTAGTGACAAACCAAGTCAATGGGGGACCAGGCTGCTATCTAGTGACAAACCAAGTCAATGGGGGACCAGGCTGCTATCTAGTGACAAATCAAGTCAATGGGGGACCAGACTGCTATCTAGTGACAAACCAAATAACTGTCGGACCAAGATGCTATCTAGTAACAAACCAAGTCACTGGGGGACCAGGCTGCTATCTAGTGACAAACCAAGTCAATGGGGGACCAGCCTGCTATCTAGTGACAAACCAAGTCAATGGGGGACCAGCCTGCTATCTAGTGACAAACCAAGTCACTGGGGGACCAGGCTGCTATATAGTGACAAACCAAGTCAATGGGGGACCAGGCTGCTATCTAGTGACAAGCCAAGTCAATGGGGGACCAGCCTGCTATCTAGTGACAAACCAAGTCACTGGGGGACAGGGCTGCTATCTAATGACAAATCAAGTCACTGGGGGGGACCAGGCTGCTATCTAGTAAACACCAAGTCACTGGGCTCCCTGCTATTTAGTGTCAAACCAAGTCACTGTGGGACCAGGCCTGCTATCTATTGACAAACCAAATAACTGTGGGACCAAGATGCTATCTAGTAACAAACCAAGTCAATGGGGGACCAGCTGCTATCTAGTGACAAACCAAGTCAATGGGGACCAGCCAGCTATCTAGTGACAACCAAATAACTGTCGGACCAAGATGCTATCTAGTAACAAACCAAGTCAATGGGGGACCAGGCTGCTATTTAGTAACAAACCAGATCACTGTGGGACCAAGCTGCTATCTAGTAACAAACCAAGTCACTGGGGGCTCCCTGCTATTTAGTGACAAACCAAGTCAATGGGGGACCAGGCTGCTATCTAGTGACAAACCAAGTCAATGGGGGACCAGGCTGCTATCTAGTGACAAATCAAGTCAATGGGGGACCAGACTGCTATCTAGTGACAAACCAAATAACTGTCGGACCAAGATTGCTATCTAGTAACAAACCAAGTCACTGGGGGACCAGGCTGCTATCTAGTGACAAACCAAGTCACTGGGGGACCAGGCTGCTATCTAGTGACAAACCAAGTCAATGGGGGACCAGGCTGCTATCTAGTGACAAATCAAGTCACTGGTGGAACCAGGCTGCTATCTAGTGACAAATCAAGTCACTGGGGGGACCAGGCTGCAATCTAGTAACAACCAAGTCACTGGGGCTCCCTGCTATTTAGTGTCAAACCAGTCACTGTGGGACCACTGCTATCTAGTGCCCAAACATAACCAAAATGAACTGTGGGACCAAGATGCCTATCTAGTACAAACCAGTCAATGGTGGGACCATGCTTGGCTATCTAGGACAAACCAAGTCATGGGGGACGCAGCCGCTATCTATGTACAACCAAGTCAATGGGAACCATCCGCTATCTAGTAAAAAATAACAAGTCAATGGGGCTCCCTGCTAATTTTAGTGACAAACCAATTCAACTGGCGGGACCGGCTGCTAGCTTAGTGACAAACCAAAGTCAATGGGGGATCGCAGCCAGCTATTCTAGTGACAAAGCCACAGTCAATTGGGGACCAGGCCACTATCTATGACCAACAAGTCACCTTGGGGGCTCTCTGCTATTTAGTGACAAACCAAGTCACTGCGGTAACCTCAAGCTGCTAATAGTTTTTGCAAACAGTCACTGGTGGACCAGCTGCTATTTAGTTGTCAAACCAAGCCACTGTGGGACCCAGGCCTGCTATCTAGTGACAAACCAATAACTGTGGGACCAAGATGCTATCTAGTTAACAAACGGTCCGTGGGACAAGCTCTATTCGTAGTAACAACCCAAGTCACTGGGGTGGCTCCCTGCTATTTAGTAACAAACCATGTCACTGTGGGACCAACGTGCTATATCAGTGGGGAAAAAAAGTATGTAGTCAGCCACCAATTGTGCAATTTCTCCCACTTAAAAAGATGAAGAGGCCGGTAATTTTCATCAATAGGTACACGTCACTATGACAGACAATGAGAAATAAAATTCCAGAATCCATATAGGATTTTTAATGAATTTATTTGCAATATTTATGTTGGAAAATAAGTATTTGGTCAATAACAAAGTTTTTCTCAATAACTTTGTTATATACCCTTTGTTGGGAATGACACAGGTCAAATTTTTTTTGTAAATTTTACAAATTTTTCCACCTTGTTTGGTTTTGGGCCCCCCCCATGCAGTCTCCTTGGGAGGATTTTTGGGGTTTTGGGGGGGACGGGCTTTCAACCCCCCAAAATTTTCTATGGGGGTTTTTGGGGTGGACTGGCTACCCCCAAAATTTTTTTTTGGCCCCCCGGGGGGGTGTGGTTTTGGGACATTGTTGCTGAAAAACCCACCCACGTTTCATCTTCAATCCCTGTGATGGAAGGAGGTTTTCCCCAAAAAATCTCCAACATGGCCCCATCATTCTTTTTTTTTCCCGGATCAGCGTCCTGGCCCCCTTTGCAAAAAAAACCCCCCCAAAAAGCAGATGTTTCCCCACCCCCATGTTTCCAGTAGTTGGGAATAAACATTCTTTGTCCCCAAACACAACGGTTGAGTTTTTACCAAAATTTTCTATTTGGTTTTTCATCTGCCCCTAGACTTTTCCCAATCCCCTTTGGATCACCAATGCCTCTGCAAATTCAAGGGGCCCTTGGACTGTACTGGCTTAAGCAGGGGGCACTCGGGCACTCAGGATTTGAGCCCCTGGGCGGTGTTTATAGGTAGGCTTTTTTACTTTGGTCCCCTCTTGCAGGTATTCACTGGCCCCCCCGTGTGGTTCGGGTTTTTTGCTCACCATTCTTGTATCATTTTACCCCACGGGTGAGAACTTGCGTGAGCCCCAATCGGGGAGTTTATAAGGCTTGTATGTTTTCCTTTTTCCAAAAATTGCCCCCCACAGTTGATTTTTTTCAAACCAAGCGTTCCCTATTGCAGATTCAGTCTTCCCACCGGGTGCGGTCTACAATTTTTTTTCGGGTTTCCTTTGACGCTTTTTGGTTTTGGCCATAGTGGATTTGGAGTGTGACTTTTTGAGGTTTGGACAGGTGTCTTTTAATTTAAAAAATTTTAAACAGGTGCCTTTTAATACAGGTAACGAGTGGGGACGGGGAGCCTCTTAAGAAGAAGTTACGGTCGTAACCCGAATCTTGCTTGTTTGTATACCAAATACTTTTTTTTCCACCATCATTTCAAATAAATTTATTTAAAAAACCTACAATGTGATTTTCTGAAATTTTTTTTTTTTTC